CCTCGCTTCCACCTTCACGTATACACGTGTACGCGAGTGTACGCGAAGAGAGCGAGGCAACGCAGTCCTTCCCTCTCTTTCTCTGCCGGCCTTCTCCTCGCCCCTCAGACGTTAGGGGACAAGTCCTACTCCGTCCTTGTCGGGCCGATAGGATGCTGCCAGGCTTTCTTCGTGTACGGTCGGGGGCCCAGGATCAGAGTAGTAGGTTGTACAGGTATGCACGCGGTGGGTTGGCCGGGGGCATTCCTGCGGCGTTGCCGCGTCTCTTACTCACCGTGCCCTGAGAGAGTAAGTAACGAGAGAGAGAGAGAGAGAGAGATGGGGGGGGGGAGATGAGAGGCAACAGCCAGGAGAGAGAAGAAGTGAGAGAGGACGAGAGACGGAACCAAAGGAGGAAAGGAGCAGAAACGACGAGAGCCTGGGCTCTCGCACGGCCACGAGCGCAGCTCGAACGAGTCTTTCTGCCTTTTCGCGGAGGCAATCGAGTTTGCACGGGAAGAGAGGACTGCCTCTCGCGAGACCCGTTCCCGGCTACCGCCCGTCACCGCCGCTCCTTGCTCCCGATATCCCGATGCCGTTCCTGCACCGGGGAATCGCTAACTTCTTCCTCGCTGCTGCCGAAGAGGTAAACTCGCTCCGTCTTCCGCGAAGCGCGTGAGACGCTGCGAAAGAGCTTCGGAAACTCGCGCGTGACGCGACGAGAGGCTGAAACGGAGGATCGCTCGTACCCGGGATCAGCGAAAATTTAATCAATCCCCCGCGGGGGAGTCGCCCGTGAAGAGCCCCCTCGAGGGGGCGGTATCGATTAATGCATTTACGATAAAGAAATCAGCAGACAAATTAGCGACGGGGACGAAGCGAAACGGAAGGAAGACGAACGGGGACCGTCGTTTTTTCGTCTATCGCAATTTCGATTCCGTCCACTTCTGACTTCGCACCGGCTCTCGACTAATGTCCGCTAATGTGCAACGGAATCGAATGAAAGGAAGTTTCGAGCCTTGGGTGGGGTTTCGCCGGCTCTCTCGGCGATCTCGCATCGTCGGGGAGCAAAACGATGGACTCGCCTCTGCAGTAAATGAGTTCGGAACGCGAGTGGACGGTAGTACCGAACGTGGTACCACATAGCGCTCGTGGGCCTTGCTTCGAGAAAGTAATTGAGTTTCGACTGCCGTATTACAGCTCCGTCTAAATTCCTCGAAAGAGCTCGATCGAGTGCATGAGGAGGCGAGGCTAAACTACGTATAATCGAGAGACTTTCAGTAATCCACGAAATCCTCATCGTAAAATGGATACTTGTATCATTTCCACTGATTACGCAGATTCTAACAGTGCCGTTAAAAGGAAATAAATATACAATCTTTATATATTCATATTGGCGTCCCGCCAATTCTTTTACGGGAATACTGTTATTAGTCTACCGAGATTCGCGGCCCGACGAAAAATGATATCTGCGCTAATTAACTGTACAAAATCATATCGGTTCTTCCTCTTCTTCCTCGTGTATTAAAGCATGTTCTATCCAGTTCGTTCTGGTATTTCGAGCATTTGGTTTTACCTTCGGTAGGCTGCTAACCTTGCCGAAGGAAACCTCCAATTTGGAGGGCTCTACCTCTAAAGGGGTATGCGTGGCAGGATACTCTTGGTGGTTGTTACTTCCCTTCGAGAGATTCCGAAAAAACCAGCGGTGTCCGTGGATTTGAACTTGGATCTTTTCGTTCATTTATTTACTAAGCAGAGCACATTTCTCTGCGCCACACGCTCGTGCCACTATCGGTTCTGTTTCACTTATCAATCCTCTTAGTGTTGAAGAAGATGATGGAAAGAGGATGACAGAGGTAGGCCGATATCGAGGGGAGAGATCGCATGCATTCAGGACTTTGGGAAGCAGTCTAGGAATTCGATCTGGCAAGATGTCACGCGTCGATGAAGAATTTTAAGTCCTGGTAATTCGCGAGCAAGCTCTCTCGGAGCGAGCGATGCTCTCGGATGCTACCGGCTGCGCTCGTACCTGTAAAGTTCGGGAACTGAGGTAATGGACGCGCGTCTCAGGGATCACGAGTGCGATCGAAGGATAAAGTTCGCGGATGTTAGCGGCGGCGGCTGCAGCGACGACGACGACGACGACGGCGGCGGCGGCGGCGGCGACGGCGGCGACGGCGGCGGCGGAAGGAAGAGAAGCGGGAAGCGCAAAGATATCGCGGGGGTAAGGATAACGAGAAGCTCGCGTTTCGTGCGAGTCGGGGGAAACGAAGTTAGCCGCCTCCATTGGCAGACACGGTCCACTGGGAACGGATCCTTGGCAAGTTCCATTAAACGCGTTACGTACCGGGTGGGGGAGAAGAACTCCCGAGGGGTCGTAGGGGAAACTTGCCGCGGCTAGTCCGCGGTGGCCGCGATCGCAGGATGTAACCCGGAGATCTCGAAACCGAGGCAGCCAAAATTCGCCAAGAGCGAGGGGAGGGGGCGGGGAGGGAGGTAGGGAGGGAGGGACCTTACCCTTGATTATTATCTAGTCGAACATGTAAAGGTCAGTGCAGATGGCTCCCTATATCCAGAACATTTAACACAATGTACGAGGATTATAAATTGGTACAAATTATATGCTTCATGTGGAGGTTGTAAGGAATGTCTTCCTTTTGTTTTCTTACGGTACCAGAAGTATGTGATAAATTTGACCGAGGAACGAGGGCGAGAATTAAAGCGAGAGAGAGAGAGAGAGAGAGAGAGAGAGAGAGAGAGAGAGAGAGAGAGAGAGAGAAGTTTCATTATTTAATTTTCTACTAATTTCTAGCGTTTAAATCGTCCGTAATCGCGCGTGCGGAGGATTTCACCCGCCCGTGTGCATTTTATTTTACATAAACGCTCGAAAGCCGCAGCGTATAAAATAAGGCGGGATGCCGCGAGTTTGCTGGCCGAATTCGTGAAGGCGTCTCTACGTCTCGAGCCGCGCCGACCGTCCCCAAAAGCGCGACGAAACGATCCCCTTTTAATCCCTGAACGCTAACTACCGGCACCTCGGACGATCTTGCAATTCGGAAGATTGGTCCACATTACGAAATTATCGTTATTCCCCTTTACGAAAGGGGGGAATGAGAGGGGTCGCGGAGAGGGCGAGCCATCGAGACGCCCGAGGCGCCAGGCTTTTTTTCGGTTAAAATATGGAAAACGTAGCCCGCGTGGATGATCTTCAGAAACGCATAATGGGACTGGAAGGCCAATCTTGGCTCCGTTAAATCACGTTCGCAACGATCGGGACGAGGGCAGTGCACACAGAAGAATCCTTTATCCGAGCAAACAACATCCATCGCCTCGGGACACTGACTCGGTGCTCGCAAGAAGGGAAAAAAGGAGGGGCGAAGAAAAAAGAAACTTAAACGTGCGTTACCGTGAATCTCGATGCGACGAGGAATTATATCGCGATTAAGGACAAACGCGAGACAAAGAACGTGGCTAATGTAAGTGGACCTGAAACTTCTCTCCCCCGTTCGATCGTCCGAGTATATTTAGAGTAGGATGCATCTGTGAGGGGCATCATACCATTACGAAAGAAAGGATTATTAAACACAAGCTGTATAAAAAATGACTCAAGCAAATCTTATAAGTCGCCAGAAGTAATTAAAAAAAAAAGAAGATTACTTGACCACGTCTGGTAAATTTGTATGTTCAAACTCACGACGTTTCGACCATGCTTTGTGGCCCTTTTCAAGTGATCTAACAAAGAAGTTACAAGTACTCTTAATAAAGAGTTGATACATAAGTGAGTTAACAAATAAATAAGTTACACAAGCTGTAAAAGTTTCGCTAATTTAAAAACCGTCCCCGATCTTCAAGACCACGAGCGCATAACGTCGTGATATTAAAAGGGACGTTAAGCGAGAACTAGAAACTTTTGTCTCGCGGTGGAAGAGAGGAGCGAGCGGGATTGCACAAAATAACAGTCTAACGTGAGTCAAAGCAGATGAGGAACTCATAGCCACGTGATCGGTCCCTAGGATAGTCGTGTGTAAGTATAGCGGCGCGTACGCAATTAGTGCCGTGGCAATTTGATCTTTCTTTCTCCCTTTCTCTCCCTTCCTTTCGTATTCAGCGTCTCCGTGCAATAAATCACGCGGCCGCCGCGCCGTGCCGCGCCGCGAAATTACGACCGGAGCGTCAGGAAACGTCGGCTTGATGCGAACTAACGTGTCTCTTATGTTCGCTTCTCCGTTAGTCGAAAGAAGGACCGACGTCTCAGATCGGGACAAAGGAGAGATAGCGCAAAATTATCAGTCGTATTAAGTCCCTATAAATTCATCGATGTGTATTAACAAATCGATCGGTGAAAGAAACGTGCTCGGAACCGCAACCCGTGCAGGATGTTTGTGTTCGTAACGATTACTTTTTTAAATGAAACGTCCGTCATTAGATTATCTTCGGCCAAAAGAAGAAAAGTAAAAGTATACGTTCGTAGCGCATGTCTCGCGTAACGAATTAAACGTGAATCGTGCTCCGTCGTAAAGATAGAAAGATAGAATTGTTAACTTTTCGCAATACTGTCACGGTGGTTGTTTCCGCCGCACAATCTCAATTTGCTTTAAAGTATAACCTATTTTTCGAGAACCATTTCTCTCAACGAACCGCGACAATGAACGAGATTCAGAAGTATTTAAATCTCCGGATTGAAAGAAGTGACTTTGGCGAGCGCGAAGATAATTAAGTCATCGGCGATTCGAGTTGACGATAAGCGATCATCGAAGAACCCCGCCTTCGCCCGACGATCGGCGGATCGGTCGATCACGCGGCGGTGGCGGCAACCGCTTCGATCCTACCTAGCCCGATACATCTGGCTAAGTATACATCCGAGAGTGGCAATCGGGCGCGATGTATCGCGACCCGAGGTGTCGCCGCGGACTATCATCTCTGCTTGATTAGCCCTACGTAGATAGGTAGGCAGGAGAAGATGAAGTAACGAAAGAAGAGAATAGAGAACCTGAGGAAGGAACGAACGGGCGAGCGCTTACCTTGTTCCGCCTGGGTCCCTCGCGGGCAGATTAGCAACAGCAGCAACGGCAGAAGGTGGGCAGCGGAAGCAGCAACGGCGGCGCAGGTGGCTAGGAGGCCGGCTACGCTCGCCATATTGAAGGGGGCCATTCTTATCTCCGTGTGGGCCCCACTGCCGCCGCGTTGGACGGCCGCCGGTCCTCTCACGATCCGTGCGAGAGGATGCAGCACACCGGCAGAGCGTCGTCACTCTCGCCTCCTCATGCCTCCCCTTGCGCTTCGCGTCGCGTCGTCGTCTTGCGCGTCACGGCAGCCGACGACGTGCAGCCACCGATAGCCACCGCCGGATTCCTCCACCCTCTTCGTCGGCACCACCACCTCCGCCTTCCTCAGCGGCCGCTACTTTCCCTGCCCGCTTATGCTCCAGCTTATCGCTCCGACGGCCGCTCTTATTTATCCTTCGAATTCTTCCAACGGGCTCGCGCGCTCTTCGATATTCCTCGTCCCGGCGACGAGTGACGGCGTTATGAATACAATATTGCCCAATCGTTTATATCACAGAGATGTCGCCTTGCTTCATTCGTGACGCGAGGCTTCCATTAATGGTGAACGGCGATCGATACTTCTTTACATGGCGATACGGTTTTACGGTAGTTGGATTTCACCAGCTGCTGCGTCTGAAAGAAATAAAGAGAGCTGGCGTTAATTAAAACCTAGAAATACCACTTTTTCTGCGAGTTGCATCTTCCCTTGCTCTCAAGGCGATGGTAGACGAGCAACATCGTTTCTATCGCTCGCGTGAATAGGAGGACAACACCACGTTGGTTTGTCTTCTCTATTCTTCTAATGACGTCGAAAGGCACGATATCATCTTCGATTTTGCTTTTGCAATTCTAGTTGAGAATAACATTACTTTGACTGTACGATGTTGCTGGTCAATACATAAAAGTTTTATTATGTCCTTTTTAATAGCTTGGCGTTGCATATGAAATCGTTCGTTGCGTTATTTGATATCGTGATTAGAAAATATATGATAATTTCTACAGTCATAAATGATAATAAAATGACATTAAATCGCGCTAAACGTTAGTGTGCAAAACCTAAGAAACAAATCGTAAGATATCATTTCTCGCATCATTCACCTGCGTTGTCTCTTTAAAAATGCCTAACCTTCAGTTACTAAGCCTGCTGGCGAAGAAAACGTCACATATAAAAGGACGGTATAAAATGCCCAGGATATATCTCGAGTTCAAGGTCAGCTTGCGTCACATTGAAGAGTTCCAGGGACACCGACCGGAATTCGGTGCCGTTCAACGGTCAATTATCGTGCGTGGAAAAGAAAATAGTAACGAAAGAGAGAGAGAGAGAGAGAGAGAGAGAGAGAGAGAGAGAGAGAGAGAGAGAGAGAGAGAGAGAGAG